AAGAAGTTATCACCAAAAAAGTGCCTAAAATTATGAAATAATCATTATAGGAAAATGGCTAAATCTCAACTAACAACTAATATTACGCAGCAAAAATGGTTTCAACTTGAAATCAACACCAAATCCATTGCTTTCGAAGGAAATAAGGCACCACGATAGTCATTATGACTCATATTATCTGACCCCAAAGTAGCTGATATTTCGATACAAAATACCAGTCACTTTGCAGGCTGATAATTATGCCAATTTTTTTCCATTGCTATCAATCAAACTTCAGTGTTAGAAATAGTGGAACTCAAAATCAATTTTTATTCACTTTTTGAATGTACAATTGCTTCATCTTTCAAAAAAGGTACTAGTAAAACCTTGAATTTTGCATTTGATATCAAAAAAGATAATGAGAAATCATCTTTAAAAGTTCTCGAATAGATAGAAAGGAATTAAGAAGCACATAGTGAGTCATGACACTAATAATGCATTTTAAGATGAGTTTGAATAAGTTATAACTAAATTAAATTCCTACATAAGCATACGTGTATTATACAACTTACAGAAGTAAATTTGAATAGCTGATCAGCTGACTGAAAACTCCAAAAAAGGAGAACAACATGGAAATCAGCAGCTAATTAACAGCAAATACAGATCCATTAGTTTCAAGTATAACCAAAAATTTATATTGAAAGACCAAGACATGACTTCAATAAAGGGCTTAAAATGAAGCTATACATAAATGATATGAATACGAAAACCCATCAATTATGAAAGAGCCATTTGAAACCAAATAATATTGATCCAGAAAAAGTCATAACGAAAGAAATCTATTACAGAAATTTCATTTTTTTTCTGGAAAACATAGAACACGCATGAGCTCTCCTTATAAATCTGCACACAATTTGATAAAGCAACAGCATTTTGAATACATCATTGTCGTGACCCTTAGTTTTCTATTTTTTAATTGATTTAAAATAACCTTTATAAAGGTTAAAACAAGGCCAAATTCAACTTGAATTCAAAAAACCATGTCTACATACTGTCCTTGTGATACCATTGAAGAGCAAATATTCTGGCGGTTTTGGTGGTGTACACCACGACCTCGCGCACTATGTGCTCCTCTTCCGACAGTATATTCAAACAGATTTGTCTGCAAAAAGATACGTTTGGAAAAACAAATAATAATATCAATCTAAAAAGCGAGAAACATGGAAATCAATGAAGCAGTCCACTCTAAATTATTTCATAAATTAATAAAATATTGGTTTTCTGCATATTAAAAAAAGAGGAAAAACACGCACCGAAATAGTACTCATCAAATCTTTCACATCTGGTGCTGGATGAGGTTGTGTGAAGAAAAACAAATGGTCGAGAGCCTGCTCGGCATCGAGCCGTAATGATGGGTCTAAGACGAGAAGACTATCGATCAAATTTAAAGCATTGCAATCCTGTTAAAACAGACGCGTGACACTGTTTCTACTAGATGAAACAGAAGACGATCTTGATTTATGCGATACTCACCTTGATGTAAGGGTCTAAGCGCTCGATTACTCGACGATTCAAATTTTGTTGCAACTCAACTTTGTTATAAAGCGGTAAATTTTCTACACCTCTCCACGATTGCGGATTAATACTACCACACAAATTAGATATAAGAAATAGTTGTTTTTGTTCACTTTCACCCTAAAAAGAAATATAAACATTCTTAAATTACAAATGAACCACTCCACTATAAATCCCCAAACAGAACTCAAAAAGCCTGAAAAATTTATTTTTAGAGCGAAATAATTTTCCATGGAAACTGTGATAGATTGACAAACCTGCAGAATAGGAGTGCGCGTCCATAATTCAGCCATGATGCAACCTGCACCCCACATGTCAATATAAGGTCCATAATGACATTGCCCAAGAAGCAATTCAGGAGGACGATACCATAAAGTAACAACTCGATTTGTGTAACGATGATCAGGATAACCTCAATATCATTAACTATGGTGATTTGATGAGTTAATTAACAGAACTGAAGCTAAAGTCTCTTGCTTGCTCACCATTTTATTAGGACGCCTAAATTCCCCGAAAGAACTTTAATTATATAGAAATGACAATAACTGTGGTTCAACGAATGGGCCGCCTTACATATTTCCACTTCGCAACTTCCTTTGTGTTAAAAATCTGAACAAATAATAAACTCCAATAAAAATGATGATTAAAATCTTAAAAAAGTGGAACCAGGAAATTTGGAAAACAGTGGCCGTGAAAGACCAAAATCCGCTAACTTCAATATACCATCTTTTGTGATCAAAATGTTTGCAGCCTGAAAGAAAGTTCTACATTATGATACTGCGCACAAGTGAATATTAAAGCAAGGAAGAATAAGAAATTTTGAGTGCAGAAATAAAATTTCAGGCAATACTACAAAACTTTCGAATAAGGCTAAGGAAAATTCTGGTTTTTTTCCTGCTTGCAAATCACACCAAACAAAAACAAAGTCAGAATGAATAGGCAGAAAAAAAATGCAAAATGTAACAAGCCTTCAAGTCCCGATGTAATATTTTTGCAAAATGTATTTGATATAGTCCCTCCAACAAATGTTTCGTCAGAGTTTTGATGTGCACCAAAGAAAGCCGTACGCTTGCGTTTGATAACAGTCCAGCAAGATCATGTTCACAAAAAGAAAATACCAGATAAAACGAACTACGTTCTTGATTTGCAGCTGATGCTAAAATACCAAAAATAATTGATCATCAACCAACTAATGATCATCATCCCGAATATTTCTTTGATTAGAAAGTCTTACTAATTACATCAAGAAAAAGCATGGTCAGCATCATCGTTTTGCTAATGAAATCAAGAGAAAAAAACAAGCGTAAAAATAGCAACCTCTGCTACTACATATTTCTATTAATTCCGTGATGTGCCTATGCTTTAACTTCTGCAACATTTTAACTTCTCGTAGAGCTGTTATCGGAAACTGTAATATTAACATTTTTTAACAATGACTTGTTAATAAAACTTGAAGACATAATTGGGCAATTAAAAAATAAACATACTCCCTCTTTTTCCTTTTCCATTAAGATTTTTTTCAGAGCAACAATTCGACCTGTACGCTTGCAACGAGCCTTGAACACAATACTGCAAATTATAAGTAGAATAAACTTATTGTCAAAATTTTCAGAAGGAAGATATCTATCTTTGAAACTTACCCAAATGTTCCTTGCCCAATCTTTGCCAACTTTTCATAATTTGTTACGTCATTTATAAATGGAAACTCAAAAGTTTCTAGATATCTCATCAACTCTGGGGTTACCTGCAAAGATTCTCTAATGAAGTGCACAAAATATAAATTCAGTTTCACGTTGCTTACTCATATGCATTAACATTTATGGTATATGACAAACAGATATCCACATAATGAGTAAAAATTCATATTATATGAAATTTTGATAAGATAAATTATAATTATTACTACTAACGTTACTTTCGACTCTGTTAATATTTATAGCTACGTACGAACCATTTGCCTGTTCATTGAAGCCAAATCTTCATCTGTTGGATGCGATACCGATGAAGTGCTTGCGCAATCTATATCCAGTAAAGAACTCTGATAATCAAAGTTATGCTCCTTATCCATTGACCAAGTTTCTTAAATAATAATATATTCTTTGCATAAATTTTATAACAACAATGGATTCATAATTTTTGATGAATACAGTTACACGCCTACAAAATGAATCTTAATCTTACTAATTAATATAATAACACTAAAATTATTTTAACAACAAAATAAGTAAGAAACACTATTTATTAATATTTTATTTCAAATAATGTATTTTGTACAATATTCAAATACAAATATTTAATCATATCATGAAAGTATACTTCCTACTAATTGTCATTAACAGACAAGAGAAATTAGAGAACCAAAAATCTTCTACGAAACTAAAACTATATCAATATCTAAGCATGTGCTCCTAGATCTAATTTACATTTGCCGCCTTAATCCGAACCGTTACATTCTAGCCATAAACGCACACTTTTAAAGATCAGACCATCCACATCATAGTAGCACATAATTATTTAGTGATAAGTTATGCAAATTGTAATCCAAAATGAATCAATCTGCTTAAAGTAATTGAGGCATCGGCGTTTACAGTTTTCCTTCGTTATTTCACTTTGATCTCATATTATCACGTTTAATAAGATCTTAATTATTATTTATACAATTTATGACGTAATATTTGTTGCTCGTTCAATCATTAACCAATTAAATTTTATTCTTCACGCAGTTTATTTACTTAACTTTAATGTATTAAGTATGTTGAAGTTTTAACACGTGTACTCTTAATTTATTGGCTTTTAATAGTTATGTAAGGTATTCTTTCTGTGAGCTAAATATAATTTATTAAGTGCTTTTAGTATTTACTACCGCATTGTATTGTACTGCAGAATAAATATGGAAAAGTTACATAACTTTTTAATTAATCGTCATTAATATTAAAAAATTAAATTTTGTGTCTGTAAAATATAAGTACAAAAGATAAAAATCAGTGCGAGTTAATGCAAAAAAAGTCTTACAAAACTATTTTTAGATCAAATGTGAAAAAAATTTGTCATCAAGTTAGGACACCAGAATGGAAAATAATTATCCACTTCAACAAATTCGTTCACTTGATCCAGGTGGTAGCTCATCTTTCATTTCTCTGATGTCTTCAGTTTCGCAGCCTTCAAAGGACGATATAGCTTTAATGAATCGTCAGAAGGTAATTTTTAGTTTTTATTCTATTGTACTTATATTTTACAGACACAAAATCCTCCTTGAATGCCAGGGAATCGTTTTTTACACAACTAAATTAGATCAAGAAATATAGCACTAAATAATAACTTGATTCTTCTGCAAATTTAATCAAGAATTGATCGACGACAAAAATTTTAAATTAAATCACAGCAAGTCTTCAAGGTTCTGCAAAGTGATCATTCATAAATTGTTAAATATGATGATGTTTGTAAAAAAAAAATAAATATTTTTTCTAGGTATTGCAGCAAAACTTCATGGAAAATGTTTAACCAGGATTATTAGACAGATTCATCAGTCAAGAAATGAATTAATCATT